CCCCAAAAACCCACCCTTTTCTCCACAAAATATCCCTTTTTAATTCTTTAAAATTTTCATCTTTCCCTCCCAGAAACACAAACGCGGACACAATCCGCATCGACCCACTGGTCATCGTGGACCTGATGGTGGACCTCATGTTCATCGCGGACATCCTCATCAACTTCCGCACGACGTACGTGGAGAACGGGGAGGTGGTCAGTGACCAGCAGAAGATCGCCGTCAACTACGTCAAGAGCTGGTTCGGCATTGACGCCATCGCCGCCATACCCTTTGACCTCTTGCTCTTCGGCTCCGGCACCAGTGATGTGAGTACTTGGAAAATATTTTTAATTTTAAATTTTAGATAATAATAATAGATCTAATATAGATCTAGTTGTTTTGATATTTCTGGGTTTTTTTCGTTTTGATTTGTTTTGTTTTCTTGTTGTTGTTGTTGTTGTTGTTTTGTTTGTTTTTAATTTAATAACTTTTAATCTTTAAAAAAAACCTTAATATTTTTAGTTTGTTTCGTTTTTGGGTTGTTGTTTGTTTTTTTTTCTCCTGATTTGTGTAACTTTTTATTTAACAGACTTTTGTTATATGATATCATTATACATGTATCTTTTGTTTCGTGTCTTCTACTTTGTTTTCGTAGCTGGATTTCATTTCACCGACTTTTTGTTTTCTAATGTGGCTTTGAATTATATTTTATATGTCCATCTAATTTATGTGATTAACCCACAGTTTTTCTCCTTCTCAATATTATTAATGAACGTCTTCTATTTCCTTACCTCTAATTTATCTTCCATTATGTTATGTATTATTTTGTTCTGATTCCTCTCAGTTGCATGAATATTTTGAGTTTGCATTTAATAATAATGTATTACATTTTTTTCTCAATTTATTTTCGTAGTTTGTTACGTAACAGCGTTACCATATTATTTTTTTAGAGTGTGACTAGATCATGTCTCATCTCTTGAATTTTCAGTATCACCCTCTGTTTCTGTGTGTTCCATTCAGTTTTACTCTGTTCTAGTACGATTTTACTCCTATCTTCATTTTTGTTTTCCTTATTCTTGACATTTTTGGTTATGATTTCTTCCTTTCCCAGCCTAGCCGGACCCTGTGTTGATATATTTATTATTATTATTGTTGTTGTTATTATTAT